TGAAAATTTTGAATTTTCGTATTTCCGTGAATACCTTCTTAATTTTCATGCTTCCCTGATATTTTTTTGAAAATTTTGAATTTTCGAATTTCCGTGAATACCTCCTCAGTTCTCATGCTTTCCTGATACTTTTTTGAAAATTTTGAGTTTTTCAATTTCAATGAATACCTCCCCGATTCTCATGCTCCCCTGATACTTTTTCAAAAATTTTGAACTTTTGGATTGCCGTGAATACCTCCTCGATTCTCATGATCCCCTGATACTTTTTTGAAAATTTTGAGTTTTTCAATTTCAATGAATACTTCCTCAATTGTTATGCCCCCCTGATATTTGTTCAAAAATTTTGAATTTTCGAATTTCCGTGAATACCTCCTCAAATCTCATGCTTTCCTGATACTTTTTTGAAAATTTTGAGTTTTTCAATTTCAATGAATACCTCCTCAATTGTCATGCTCCCCTGACACTTTTCCAAAAATTTTGCATTTTCGAATTTCCGTGAATACCTTCTTAATTCTCATGCTTCCCTGATATTTTTTTGAAAATTTTGAATTTTCAAATTGCCGTGAATACCTCCCCGATTCTCATGCTCCCCTGATACTTTTTCAAAAATTTTGAATTTTCGAATTTCCGTGAATACCTTCTTAATTCTCATGCTTCCCTGATATTTTTTTGAAAATTTTGAATTTTCAAATTTCCGTGAATACCTCCTCGATTCTCGTGCTCCCCTGATACTTTTTCAAAAATTTTGAATTTTCGTATTTCCGTGAATACCTCCTCAATTATCATTTTATTTTAACTTGACTTTTGATTGAACATCTCAATTTTTTTTATTAATGAAATCGTTTTTCTTTTGATTATTTTCAGTCTCGGAGATTATAACCTCCGAGAAGTCGAGTTGGGTCGGACAAAACAATTGCAGAAGTCGAATTGAACATCCACTATTGGGACATCGGATTGCAGTCAATTACCTCAATCACCAGTAATTGCGGTAATTATTGAATTTGTGAATTACTCTCTTTTCTCAAGAATGCGTATATAGTTTTAGAGTCTTGGTTACTGGAATATTACTTGTAATTGTTTAGAATGGACAAATGACTATTCTCGATCAATGTTTTATTATTTTGTATTCATTTACATGAGGTCAATGTTGCAATAATTTATTCATCAGAAATTCACTAATTTTTCTCGTTTTCCACTCATGTTCTAAGTTTTCGCGATGGATTCGCAGTTCTCCAGGTAGCAGAGGAAAAGAATATCAACGACGATGGCATGAATCCAGGAGAAAACAAACCACTGGAGAAGTCGGCAAATAAACGTCCATAGTTTGCTCCAGGAGGCTTCCACCACCTGCCAAATGCGCCTGGATGTGGGTAACAGCTAGCATCCACATTGTCAGACAATTCCAAGGAAATAATTATCATAAAGACATGATATGAACTAATTATAATATGTAAAATTGAATTGTATCGTTTTTGCAATGAATATAAATCGAAACGAGAAAAAAGGAATAAATCATAACTATTGGTGTTTTTATTACTATCCCTTTCCACGTTATTATCATTATTATTATCAGTACTAGCGCCATTTACGGGGCGCGGAGTGGGAGCTCCCGGACCCATAGGAGCCGAGATATTTGCATTTTTCTATTTGGAACGCTGGAAAACATAAAAACGCATATTTCGCGTTCCAGCAGGGTTCAAATGATGG